TGAAAATTCGACTGCAAGTAGCTTAAAAAGTAAGATTTTATTTGCTCTCAACCCAAAAAGCTCAATTCACTGACCGTACATAATCCGAAAATGATCAATGCATGAATATTATCGTAAAACAAGGGTCTAATACCTATCTATTTCTTCGTGCCGCGCTATTAATTTATCTAAAATTACCTCACGAAATGCACTGTTATACGTTCCGGTAGCTCGACAGTGACTTACTGCTCTTTTACGATAAATTATCGTGACATTGATTGTTATTGTGCCGCGAACGAAATGCACGTCACGGCAAACACGGATCGAGTAAGTTCCCGAAAACCATTTCGTATCGTCTCGTGAAACTCTCCTCTTTCTCGTCTCTCCGATCTTCCTCTCCGACACCTAGGCTCTTTCTCCTTCAATCTTTCCCTCAACGACTCTCCCGTTCCTTTTTGTCTCTCTCTCTCTCTCTCTTACCATCGCGTCGTATCTACGGGTCGTTGATATCGCTCGCCTCGTATTTTTTCAGATAACGTGCATGCAGCGGCCGTCTACGAAACGCGGCACGCACTGCGCACCCGTGATAATAATTATTGACAGATGCGACCGACTAATGCGGCTTTCGTCTCGCTAACGCGCCAGTTGCGACGGCTTGTTTTACTGATGAAGACGTTACACGCTTGGCGTGAAGCCACGTAGAGAGACCGTGGAAAATTAATACCATAATTTCGCAACAACCGAATACTATATAACAATTCTCGGTGGTATAACTGGTAACGTACAATATTAGATTACGGAATTTAATTAGTAACAAGATCTTGATAATTTCGAGTGATTCTCGAGTGAGACGGTATATTCATGTGCAAATTATTTCGATTGTTTCTTTAAAATTGAGAAGCATACTACTGACCAAAATATTCATTATAAAACTTCTTCACTTTTTAAAATTTATGTGTACTTGTACAAGGAGTAATAAATGTCTGTTGAATTTAGTACTTTGATCTTCAAAACGGATCAATGATTTAATGAACGAGACAGTATATTTCTCTATAGTGTAGTATACTAGATATATTGCATCTAGATACTTTACTCACCCGCCATTATGAATCCCGTATCGTGAATAATTGAAGAGCCCGAAGCAATACGTGCTAAGTCCCACGAGGGAAAATTTAGTGAGCTTATCTCTGTCTACGGTTCCGTTATAATTTCGTCCAAAATATTCTCATCAATTTCGGTGATAAAGCAATAAGATATTATTAAGTAATAATTAATTATTAAGATTATATTCGCGTAATTTTTGCTGGATTCCTTCAATTAAAGAGATAATATGCCGGACTGTGTGTGCAAATTTTAAATGAAATTTTTATTCTCTCTGTTGCAGTTTATGAATTTACTTTTTGCTCTTGACTGTTATGAGAGAAAACGTCTTTCGTGAGTTATAATTATAACATTAGATAATCATCCCGTAAAAAACAAGAGGAATAAACGAGTGCGTCTCTTTAATATTCTCATGGGTGTTACGAATAATTCAATTAAGAGATAGTTACATTTCCAGAGTGTCATTTAAGGAGGATACAACAGCACACCATTTTTGAAAACATATCAAACAGAACGTGACGGATTTCGCTCCCTCGAGAGAGATCCATTTTCGTTATGAATTCGCCAACAGAACTGCAGCGAACAAACAATCTTTTCATACCATGTTAGGGACATGAATGTTTGAGTTGTTTGACTCATAGCTAAGCTATAATATAAAATGGATCATTTTTTAAATTTCGTCGATATTAATTAATAATTTCATACGAGAAAACTGTTAGCTGAAAATAAACGTGAGCAATGCAAATAACATTGGCTTGAAAAAAAATTAATTACACACGGTTCTAATAGAGCAATACATTTCATGAATCATGAATGTCTTGAATTAGCATAGTGATTAAAATCGGGAATTAGTAAAATATAATATTGAAATATATAATTATAACAATATACATTAACATTAGATATATGTAAGACTTTAATTCAAATTTTCGTCATAATTTATGACGAAATGCAACTGATTCACAACGGGACGAAAATCAATATCGAGTTAACATCAAATATTAAAAATTGAATCAGCCGGTCTTAATATTCGTGACGGAAACGTTTATAACGCAATTTTCATCGCTCGTATTCAAACGCAAGCGTGAAAGTAGGAAATCATTTTCCGTCGCGACTCATTATACGAGAAATTGCTCGTCGTGAATAACGTCGCGAAAAGAAGGACCCGTTTTTCTTTCGGGGACTTTACGATTCTAGAAACGCAGTAACGGAAAACGCAATTGGAGACAAAAAAAATTAAATAAAATGTTCAGTGACACGTCTTTTCAATAGCTGAAGACAAACTTTAAAACTGTTTTTCATTCCTACGAGAACAAGTCGCGGGCTTGCGAGCGGCAAGATAAGGCCATCTTCTTTCGTTTGTTTTTCCGTGATAAAAAGCGAAAGCCCGAGGAATTAAATGACTCACGGAAACGATCGTGCAAACTGTGTGGCTTTCTATCCGAAACTGATAAAATTTACAACTCGCAACGAAACATAAAATAACTTTGTTTGAAAATATTTGAGAAATGTCACGTACTTGTAGAATAAAAGAAAAAGTCTTTTTTAACGAGTCGCACATGTGCCCCTAAAATAATTAGTATTAAAGCAATATGATTATCGTGTTAGGAATTAAATTGAGGCAATATAACTGAAGTTGAGATATAATAATAAAGAACGGCAAAAAAGAAAAAAGAGAGAGAGAGAGAGAGAGAGAGAGAGAGAGAGAGGTTATTTCCGACAGTATATTATATTATAACCCATTGCCAAGTTTTGTAATAACAAAAGTCAATGAATAAACGACGGACGATACCTATGCAGGAAAAATATTATGAGAACCCACATATCCTCCCGTTAAATGCAATCGCCATAATGCACACCCCTCTCGGAAGTAAATTAAGGTTCAACGTGCGCTACGCGCGCACTCATTCATGGAAAACCGTCTACTGCAATTTGCATTATAGCCGTCTAATTTATAATGTGCCATGTCATTACATCAAGTCCACTGCTAAATAACGATTACTCACTATTATACGCGGAACATTCCGCCTAGAATGAGAATTGGCGTGTGTATACTCCTTTCAAATTTTCATACTTGCTCTACAAAAAGCTCAATCAACAGTTTAATCATGACATTATTTAAAAGCAAAAATCCAAGAGCCATTTCTCAAATGATGTTTCAAGAACGTAAATAAGGGGTGAAAATTTATTTAGCGATTAACTTGAAATTTCGACTTTGCTCAAAGAGAAAATTTAGATTGCGCAATGTAACTTTAAATTTATTTTATAAATTTAATATTTTACAAGAAATAATTTAAACTTTAATTAATAATACATTACAATATAGAGGGAAAGCTTGTAATAAAGTTTCAAGCACTATAAGCACTAATAAGCATATAATTTGTTCTTTTAAAAAGATTATATCTGGAAATATTGTTGCAATTGTAAATTAAATATAAACAAAATACAAGTTTTCTAACCGTAGGAATATTTGCGGTATTGCTATTGAAATCTCATGACAATTTATCTAGCAGTGACTATAATGCTTCGCAATGCACGATGCACTACGTATACCTCCGTGTTCGTTTTGCTCGCTTGCTAATGCGCCTGCATTCACTATACAGGTTCATTTCACAAAGCGAATCAACCGTTTCGGAACCGCCAGCTTCGGCCAGCAAAACGCCAACGATAAATTCTGTCTAATGTGCCCGTAATTAAATCAATTCGCGATATATCTAAGTTTATTCGCTGTAAAGAAACGACCGCGTGCTACCTGCTAAGTATCGTTATACAACAAGTACGTACGTGCTTCTTTGAACGCACGTTAACCTTGTGCGAGCGAAGAAACGGACGATTTTAATGTAAGGAAAAAAAAATTAAACGCCAGTAGGTTTTGTGCTCTTGGAATTACAGACGTCGCGATGCCTCGTTAATATTTATACGAATAGAACTGAATTCGCGACGCAACAACGCACAAGTTACACGGTATACATAATATAGTAAATGCGTGTTTAAATTTAAACTTACTCGCTGATGAAAATTTTGTCGGAGAGGTCTAATTAACCGCGGGTAATATTATTAAATCTTTCCAAGAGATAAGCTTGACTTTCGAGGGTGGAGGGTAGCAACAGCGGTGCAGTTCCCGAGATTAATGTAACGGGAAACGTGCGGTAGGTGGGAAAAAAAAAAGCTCGCCTGTTGCTGAAGCGAACGAATATACGAATGCAGCTCAGCGTGTACGGAGGCATTACCACACATCGAACGTAATAGTACGGTGTGTACACAATGGTAGCGAAGTCATTCTGCGCTCCGAACATTTGCGTGACAAATGTACGCGACAATGTTGTGTGTTCAAGTCGACAATACTGATCGCCACAATGAATCAACTCGCCCCCGCGATACCGGTGTTAGGTGAAATGTATTCGCGTATAATAACATTTTCTCGCGCGTGTATTTACAAGTGCACCGGCGCGGCGCGGCGTGCGTTTTGGGCGTTTTATATACGCTGATATACGAATGCATATTCAAAGTCGTTTGTCGGGACGCTCTGAATATGCATTTTTCGCCGATACATTTTGTCCGATACTTGTCCAATTTCCCAGACACTCGGGCGGTGCTTTGTTAATATAATTACTCAAAAGACAAATTGCGCGTATTCTCAGCCGCAAATACATTTTAATTTGTCGGGCTCTCCTTTTCTTTCGAATATTTGATTCGATGTAAATCATTCTAATCCTACTCATCGATAAAAGAACTACTCCCCTACATTTCTTTTATGAAAATTCAATCTGTCGGTCTCGACTATTTTTAGTAAAATTTTGTCTCTTTCTTTCAAATAGAATTAGCTGAATCTTTCTAAACGGTAAGAACTGTTCCTCGACATTTCTTTCACGCACTCGACTTGGACACAAAACGCAAAACGGACGGCACATCGAGCTTACCTTTCTCGAACGCCTCCGGCAACGAATCGTCCTTCCGATGGGCGTCCACTTGCAACTTCCTCTCGCGCACCAGCGCAGCGCGGTGTATAGTTATATATACCGGTGCAGTCCGTCCGTGATAAACAAAAACACAAACTCGCGGCTACTCCGATCTCGTTCCCTCCTCCGAGAGGCGGCGTATGTCTCTTTCTCTCGCGGTATCAATCGCCCGCCGATTCTCCTTCTTCTCGCATTCGCTCGCGAGAAAACACGCGGCGCGCGAGCGAGCGAGCGAGCGAGACGACGTAAGACGGCCGCGAGGTGTGACGGAGGAAGAGGAGGCCGACGGAGCGGGAGATGGAAAAAACGCGCGCGAGGAACGGAGACGAGAAATGATACCGGAGAAAGAGGAAAGAAAGAGAGAGAGTGAGGGGGGGAGGGGAGGCACGGGAATGAGCAGAAAAAAGGCGAGTGATACTACGCAAGGAGCGAGCGTGATAAGGAGCGAGCCGGGCACCACAAATCACAATTTCCTGCACCGCCACCGCGAACGGGACAGGCGGGGAGGTCGCGTGTCCGAAGTCGGCGCGACAATCAATCCGCTTCGGCGTCGATCCTCGAGCGACGATGGCCCCGCGATGACGCGCGTTTGCCCCGCTCGACGTCAGTCACATCATCACATTTCTGCCGCTCGCGGTCTCGCGGTGGTGGTCGCGTGGCGCGGTGCGCGAAAAACGGAGCGCGCTCCGAAAATGACTCTCGAAGGACGTGGTGCGCGCGCGCGCGCGCTCGCTCGCTCGCGAGCGCGCGTCGCAACGGTTGCGGTCTCCGAGGGAGGGCCGCGCCGAGGGAAAGAGATCGTCCTCTCCTCCACCTCTTCCTCCTCGTCCGCCGGTATGTTCCTGCTCAGGATCCGATCGAGCAGACACTGACCCCACGAGACGACGTCGGTGCGAAGGAGAGAGAAGGAGAGTGCGAGAGAGATGGGGAGAGGGAGAAGAAGTACGACGAGAAGAGGAACGAGTGGAGCGCGAGGGAGAAACGGGATGGAAGTCGAGTGAGAGGAAACGATAAATAATACGGGAGGAAAGGATGGTGAGAAGGATGACGGGGAGGGAGCGAGGAATCGGTGGTTGGATCGCGAGAACACGAGATCCGTTTCGAATCTTCACTTTCGTCGCGACATTTTTCCCCTCGCGGCTCTCGGACACGCGCGGCTTTTAAAAACTGTGAGTCACGGTCGCGGAAAGTGAGGAAGAATGAGAACCGGAGCGCTTCTCCCGCTTATCGGTGCCGCGCACTTAGTTTTTCAAATTTCATGTATATGTCCGTGGCACGCGTGAAAAAAACGCGCGATCTTATCGTTCGAGATGCATTATCGGGGAAGAGAGAGAGAGAGAGACGCTGATCGCGTCGTCGGCGGCGACGATGCGCGATGGCGGCGCGCTCGCGAAAGGTAAAACGTGACAACTCGTATCGCGCGCGCCTGCTTAACATATACTGAATACGTCTCGGTCTCGACCGGACTGCCGGAGCGCCTCCGCTGTACTGACGCTCGGCCGCCATCGGCCGGCCTCGGCGACCTTCGGCCGCGCAGCCGATCGCGGCCGAACCGACTCGTCGCCCGGCCGACAAGGCCCGCGCTCTCACTCGATGCACTCGATCGCTAGCTTTGCACCGTGCAGGTCGACTTACCACGTTCCTTACTCGCTCCGATTTGCCTCGCTACCTGTTAAGACATCATATCGCTATGCTTTTTAACGTTCATTCAAAAGAGTTTTTTAAAAAACGGTAAGTTATATATGAGTAAATTATGTATCTAGGACCCTGCAACGTGTTTCTCCTTATAAATCTTTACGGATTATAATACAGATAGTGCATGTATATAATTTACGTAGTGTTGAATGTTTTATAGATGAATAAGCAATGTAATACGTATGCTTTTCTTTCGTTAAGTTTATTTAATTAAATTTTAGGAAATTAACATAATCCTTTTCGCATTTTAGAATTTAATGCATGTTTAGTTAATGCATATTAGCATATCATGAATAAACAAAATCTATCAATACATATACTTAAGAAATTAATTCTCTCGAACTGACCTTACACCAGAATAAGATTTTTGTTACGTGAAAATCACTTAAAATAATTCATAAGTCAAAATTATTTAGTAACGACATAAACTTATGTCAATTAACAAAAATATTCTCAAACGGAATAAATAATATTTACTTCGCCAGTAAATATTCTCATGTACCTTGCAATTGTGTATTTAAATTTTATTTTATCACTATATTCTTTTTCCGAATAATTTATTACGAACGGAATTAATTCTCGCTGTTTATTTTCTTAAAAGATCAAAGCACGTGGCTAGTGAGGAAAAATACCGTATGAAATACAATATATCATTGTAACAACATCGTTACACACGGTATATCGTTACACGACTCGGATATACGTGATACATTAATCGTGCGTTATTAATCGTCGTTACCGGTCTTGGACGTAAAGCACGACAGTTTAAATCAGTTTCCACCTCATTTGAAAGTACATTAAAACAACAGAACCGTGTCCTGCAGCATCATTAGTTTGACAATCGTTCAGTACTTCGAGAAACTGGTATAAACTCGCTTAAAACGCGGACTCGTTAAAGTTTGAAACGCTGAATTGTTTTACAAGTACAGAGAATTGTAAATCAATTCAGCACATAATACGATTATAAGGTCTTATTCGCGGATGATATCGATTCCTCGTTCTGAATTAATTTAACACTAAACATGATTTTATTATGCAAGATTTTATAATTTAAATACGGGTTTATAATTTTATTATTCGAAAGAGAATCTCTCTAGTCGACAGTGTGCTAACCGCGCACATCTTGCATCTTTAAAATACAATTAAATTTTTTATCCTCGCGAACTTCTGGTCTTTTCAGCGATTTTATTGACGTTAGCGGACGTCAATGATACTTCCCTATCACTATATAAAGGCAACTCCGCATCAAGGCATTGTCAAGCATACGCGTTCGCGTGTATACATTATGCAAATTGATTCCATCGATTGGCCGTCAAACTCACTGCGCGAAATATATAGACTTGTTGCACGTTTCAGTAGCTCTATCCCGATCTCTAGAGCATGCTCGTTACGCGCGTAACTTGTACTTACTACGCAATTTCAAGAAAATAACGTCATATTAGGAAAAAAAACTAATGTGACAACGAGTCTTCCAGCAGTGTCTAATTATCCCATATTGCGACACTTTGTAAGCGTTGTTTCTGTAGAATATGATTTGCATCCTGATTTGAATTGCGAAAATAAAAAATTACCTACCCGAACGTAAAAATTAAGAGCATAATTGTATCAAAGTTATAATTTTTGTAGAAATAATATAAAAATTTTACATAAGTTTTATATCAACATTACGGCGGATTATGAGATAGAAGACAATTTTATTTCCCATTAGGGTTCCATACTTGGAATTGTAGAAAATAATAGTTGCTGTAAGAAAAACGAGGCCAAAAATAAAATAATAAAACAATTCATTTCTATGGAAAATTGCTAAAATTGCTAAATCGTTCGAATCTTCTATTATTTATATCATAGTGTATATAAATTTCTTATTCCCCTATAATGTACTCATCGCGAATGCGGACGGTGCTATTTCGGTACGATCGATTCATCGATCCCATCGTTTTGATGATAGCGTTTCTCCGATCGTTTCGATTCCGTTATCGATTACTAGTCGCACGCAATTCACCGAGCTGGTAAAACCAGCAACATTTTCTCCGAGTTTACAGACGATTAAGGACCGTCATAATTATTTTAAGAGGCTTCTTCGTGGGAGCGGTGCAGTTGCCGATTACTGTGTCGCCAACGACGGCGCCGCTCTTCTCGCTGACACTAATGCGAGTGTCATTATGCGCGATATGTAAGCACTTTTCACGATATTATCTAATGCACTTTTATTTGACTTAAAAATTTGCACGAGAACGAGTAATTCGTAAACACTTTAAGAAAAAAAATTATTTTATAGAAGTTACGAGCTGTAAAATATAATGTCATATTTTATTTTCGTATTTTTTTCATTTTGCTCGCATTCGATAGGTAGATATTTGCGCAAAATAAATCAGAATAAGATGAAAATCGGCAGCAAAAATAAATTATTCGATCTAGTTGAGGATCGATTTTTTTAAACCGAAAATTTAAACAAAGATAACAATTATCGTAATATTTTTATTTTCGCCAAATACTTCCGCTTTTACATCTTTCATTAAATATGTTTTAAATATAATAAGTAAAAAAGATAGAATGTCAATTATATAATATTTGGTTTTCAAATTATAATTGAATAATTATTCTTAAGCATCTGTTCGTTTATTGCTTTTTAATTTAATATTAAATTAAGATTAATGTTGTTTGTAACTCTTTTATCGAGTGAGATTCAAATGTCGAAGAGATGGCGCGTGCTAACGCGACAAAGAAAAAGAACAAAGCCGATGCCGCAGATTTCTTTGTTGTCTTCAGTATCTCTCTTTCTTTAAACCAGAACTATAAAAAAACATATTTTTTTATGTTGTAATAAAAAATCCCTTAAAAATATGTCGTGCGAGTGCGAGAACACATTTCTCGCGAAAACAGTCAGAAAAGAAAAAGACCAACGAAGAAAAGGAACAAGAAGACTATCGTGTTTTTAATGCAAAAAGCATACTGAAGAGTACCTATTACGATTCGCGGTAAATGATAGGTGGAACGACATCATCGATCCTTATCGCGAGCTCAGCTTTGCTAAAAAGAGCAGCAAGTCGAACGAGTTACCTTGCTGCCGGGTAGCCAAGAATCCTACGGGATGATAATGAGAACCCACTATTTCATGCCAAGCCAACCATAATTAGCTCGTTGGTAATACACGGTTGTCGTCGGCGCGATTAGTGCCGTCTTTTTTCGCGAGTTATCTCGTTTTATCGCAAATTGCCGGAATTGGGTAACTGAATAAGAGTTCTCTGATTGCGCGAGCAGCTTTTTAGCAGTCCTACTAAACTTGCTCAAAATAGATGGAATTTTCTAAGTATTATATATAATAATCTAATAAATTTATTTCGTCGTAATAACAATTATTAATAGACATTTTTCGCGCAAATTTGGATACGTTAAGATGATGACTTCGTAGCAGGAGATTATATACAATCGATCTATGACAAATCTTTTTGAATTTTATTAATTTACAGAACACTGCCTTTTTTCATATATAATAATAATGATGTAAATCGACAATTACAATCGTAGTAACTAATTAGTAATTACAATCGACTTAATTAGTAATCGTAGTAATTAGATACCGCAGAATTTTAAGAGTAGAATTTAATTGTACGATTTTTTGATAGAACGCGCTAAAATAACATTTAATGAAATCCTGTGCAAGTGCCTATAGCAATATATAAATAAGTCAATATAATATATTTTCATTGGAGCAAAGTCCATGTTGAGATTTTGCTCCGTGTTAAATATTCTTTATATTACTGGAAGGAATTGCAAAGGAAAATGAAAACAGGATGTATCAAATTTATTTTAATACTGCAATGATCTTTTTGTTTGTATATCATCCAATATCGTTCTGAGTTCTTCGTCTTCTAGGCGTCCTTCGAGACTCGGGATAAGAGCTTTCGCCTCCTCTGGAGTTTCGGGACACAAGTTTGCTAACGAGGCAATTTCAAATTTATGTAGCTTCTTTTGCATCAACAAACTGCAAAGTAAAAATATTACATTTCGCATTATATTTAATTTATATATTTCATGATGTTATAACATATTACCAGCATTTTCTATGTAAACTTCTATTTTAAAACAATTTATGTATGTACATTAAATAACTGAAAAATATATAGCTACCTTCTAACGGCTGCGATCGTCTCTTTATTTTTCAACTTTCCGAATCGGTTGGTGTATGTCAAGCTCTTCATGAAAACTTCGGAAAATTCCTGTTCTTCCTCAGCTGATTCATTTTGAGCTTTTCTGTGCTCAAGAAGCATGTATACTTCCGATATCAACAATGTCTCTGCATTTTCAAATTCTGTGAAGGAATTTAGCGCCTTCGTTATTTAATTAATGACGAAAATCTTAATAAAGATAATAGGATGAAGGAAAAGAGGACTTGAAATCTATTTCACAAACTTCCCTAAATGTAAAACTTTATTTATCAGAAATTGTTAAAACTTAAAATTATTATTTTTTTAATATTATTATAATATTATTATTATTAAATACCGAACATTTAATATAACTTAATTTGTACTATCACAGTATTCGCGTGTTATTGTTATTTCTGTATCAGTTACTTTAAAATAATCATTAAGAAGGCTTATTTATGTATTCCTTTTCCACCAGGAAGTCATATATCTTTCGCGTTTTGTTCACGTCGATTTTTAGGAGGATACGGGCCTGGGCTAATCTAAGATAACCGTTCTTCTTGCTTTCCAATATCAAGAGCTGCTTAAAGTCTAAAAAATTAGTAGGCACGATTCTCACGACGGAGCAAAGCTCTCTCTCATCAGCGCTCAGTTTCTCGTATCCTGGTAAACCCTTTATGGCAAGAGGGGGCGCAGTTTTACGTTGCGACGCGCTTCCGAGAATCGGACTGCTGCAGCTAACAACGCTATCGGGCAACAGACTTCTCCAGCTGTACTCCGGATTGTTCAGATACAGCTTCTTTTCTCGCTCGTTCTCCTGTCTCAGTTTACTCAGCTTTTGAAACGTGGGTACGCTGTAGAAGTGCTTGAGACCGTTTCGCCTGAAGTCCAGTAGCCTACTGATATGATTTTTCAGTTCACCGGCGCGGTTAAGACCCTCCATGAGAAAATCAAATTCCATCCCGTCCACAAGCTGCATGAATATCAACAGTCTCTCTGCGAACGGTCTCGTTATCATATTCTCATATCTCTGTATCGACGACATGACCTTGCGAAATGCGATTAGTCCGTGGTCACGTACAACTCTCCGTCTTCTCATGCGTTCTTTTAATCTGTTGTTATATGCTTGCGCTATCGCCGCTTGCAAGGCCTGCCCTAACTCGTAATCGTTGTCGCCCGGTTGAAATTCATCCAATTCGAGATCGGATACCAGCGATTCCGCGTAATGATCGAAATTTACTTCGAAATCTGACCTAGCCGCGTTATAACCCGCCAGTAGTCTGCCGTTGAACGTGTTCGGGGCGAATCTAGGAGGTTCTTCCAGATCTTGCAACTTGTACATGTAAGGAATCGGTTCGCAACCAAATAAACTCGCTCTGCTCTCCTCAATCCTCGGCAAGCCCGGCAGAGTCTGATTGTCTATGTAATGTTGCAAATAATGCGTCTTGCATTCTTCAGCCGACTTTCCATGCATCCTACGTCCCACGTCTATCCAGTTTCCAAAGCCGCATTGTTGAACAACATTCAGCAACTCGAGTTCATTCTTAGCTGTCCAATTGCTGCCGTCGATCAGAGGAAATTCGTTCTTTATAATCACGTAATCGTGATCGTTCTTGTGTTCGTTGATCTCACAGCCCTTGGCGAAACAAGGAGGGCATATCTCAACATCGTCGCTGCATATGGCGCAACGAATGTATGGTTCCACGAGAGTAGACCTGCACACGCGGCATTTTGGATCTGAGGCAAAAATTTTATCCTTCAAGACTGACACCTCGACTTCTACGTCATGCTCAGACTTGTCTGTTGGACTCAATAAACAGTCTGAAAGAGGAAAATCGTTACCTTAGCCTTGGCCGCTCGGATGTGCAGGTATTTTAAAGTAACGTTAACGCAAAAAAAACGAATAGTTAGCGAGTTTGTTTAAAACTGCGTGTGCTTAAGCCTCATAGTATAAACTATAAGTCAAGATTTAAAAGTAACATTAACATTAGCATGTTAACATGTTAGCACCGCTATTACAGCAGCAGATTACATTTGCATTTACTTTCTTTCTTTAAAAAATAAATATCAGATAAATATCAGTAGAGTCAGAAAATAAGATAGCTGGTTAAATTTGCGTCTTTTAATACAATTGTAATCTATCTAAAGCTCGTGTTATTTCGAAACCCACGCGATTAACGTCACATTGTCAACAAGTATTACAAAAGTGAGGTTAGCTACAGCGTTTCTGCAAATTTCCGTATAACGATCAGGAAATAAATGTACCTTTCGGAAACTGGAGATCCGCCGCATCCTCCTCTGTCATATCCGTAAGAATAGGATTAGCCATGACTGACTTTTATTGAATACGTCTCGTATTTACTGTCGATTAAAAGGACGCTGTGCCACGCCAAACACTCCATTCATCTCGATTCGTCCTCCGTCTACGCACGATCAATCGCGTGCTACACGTGGAGCAGGAGTGCTTAGTGGCGCGATCAAGTGACGGAATAGTGAACGTTTGTAGAAGATTTTTGATCAGCCGGTATAAAGATCTCTCATTATTTTTATATTTTTAGAAAATATATTTTCCTCATATTCTATTTTTTTATATCATTTAGATTCATCAGATAAAAATTCCGCGTGTTTAATTTGTTAAATTTATTCATCTGAGTGTCTCGTTTTGTTATAGTTTACATTTAAAAAAATCACGTTGTGACCGTGAACACACATTGAGAGACACACGTGATTTTTATTAAAAAATAATACGTGCAAAAACGTCCGCAATTTTTTATAACAAGCTAAATGTTTGCAGTATACAGTCAGCAATTCGACACTGAATTTAATTAAATTGAGTCACTTAATTATTTAACTGGCATACTAGCTCTGATAACTCTGTAAAATGCAGACATTGAACTAGGTACGTCCTGAACAATAAACCAAACGTCGCTTGAAAATGCGGGATAATTAAGGTCAAATGCAAAGCGATAACATCGGAATACCTAATCGAGAGAATCCGCGTTGAAATCATTAGTATGCACATTTGTCACCTTTCAATGAGAAACAATGAACGTGAGACCATGAAAAAAAAACCGTCAGTACGGTTGTCAGCGAAGAGAAATCATTATCAGGATGCATGTTATTATATCGCGATATTTTCTAACTTTCGCTTAGAAGCGAATACGTAAAGTATCATTAAACGAACATTGTCGCAAGAAAAGTGAAAAGAAAATGTTAAACAATAAGAATTGCGAAGAAATTCACTTATAATATTGTCGTATTAGATGAATAAATAATACGCACGCGCGAACAAATTATGAATGAAAGTCTTCCTACATAATTATCTTTTCTCTATATGACTCATTAGCAAAAGTGAAATTTTATAATGAAGAAAAAATCCTAATTAGCGGTATAAAAATTTTGTACATGTTGCAGACGATTTTGTCAAACTTTTGCTACTATTAAAATAATTTTTGCATAGTGAAATGGATTTATAATTCGCACCTATAACGAAATGGTTTTATAATAAAAAAATATGATACTACTTTTCTGTCTGCTTTATAGAATTTTACTTTTATTCATTATATTCCCTTAAATATTCGCGTCAGTAAGATCTTCGGAACAGCCACTTTGCAAGTGCATACGTAACAATAGTATCATTATGCGCACATATTAGCCGAGATTTTGTGAAAGTATCGGATAAAACGTTTTAAACATGCTAACAGCTTTCTATACCGAAAATGTGTCGCCAATAATAAGAACGGTAATTAACCTTTTGCGACTTTGTGAAAAATGGAGATATCTTCTCCAATCATTTCTGCATCGTTGAACCGTAATTTGCAAATGCTTCTTACATTTTTAGCATAATTCCCTAAAAATTTAGCTTTCTCTTGCAAGATTATTCAACCGAATACGATAACTCACTTTTTTGAAGGCGTGCGAAAATTATCTTACAATTAATTGAGAAACTGAATATAGAATAGTTTTTACGAATTTATTAAAAGAAACAAATTATTCCGCCTACAACAGCTCTAACAACCGTTCAATTCGTCCGGGATATTCTGTACGTTAGAACACGAGGAATACTGTTTATCTTTTGCTTCCTATATATGCCTCACATGCGCCCTACGAATGTCTCCCGAACCGCACCGTCCTTCACGCGACGCGTGTCCTGAAAACAATAGAAACTCGAGCTATACACAAGGGAAGTTTGTTCCGTGCAGTTCTCTCGCGCGAGCGTGCATTTAATACGCGAAAAGCTCGTCGGTCGGTCGCGGTTGCGGGTAGTGTCGACGAGTGTTACACGCGAGAAGTCGATTTCCGTGTTTTCGACGGGATACGCAGCCTCCTGCTTAAAAATGGAAATAACGCACGACGTGGAGCCGGATTTCTCGAGCGCGAAGACGCTGCATTTCCGCGAGCCGATAGACAAGATTGACGAGGATCCCTCGACACGCCTTAACATCTTCGATACTGTTTACAGAGCAACGACCGGAATGACAATTAAAGGGTAAGATTTCATGTAATATATCGTCTGGCTTGTCAGAGAAATTAGAGAAATACTGGAAAATTACTCGGCGAAACTCAAGGAGTTTTATGAACCTTTTGTAAAAACAATCATTAACCTTCATTGGTCGCAGTATATTTACTAGATAAAACATAACAAGTTTCAAATGAAGTTTATTTTTTTTAAGTTATTATATTTAAAGTTATAAGGTTATATATAGTTTTTAACGTGCCGTCAACCTCTTTATTGTAGGTTATATATGACACTTCTCTCAAAAAATACTTTAATCTTTTCGATTAAATTAAGGTTATATTTAAGAAAATTGTAAGGTTATATTTGAGAAATAGATAAAATTTTACCCATATGTATTTTCTCTAATTTGTAGAGAGTTTGAAAATAAGAAAGCGGAGCAAAATATTTTCTGCTCAAACAATTTTGTCCTTTGGTTACATAAAAACATGCTATATAGCAGCAACTGATATTGACTAATTATTTATAGCAAATTTTAATTGTTACATACGAAAAATGGAAGATATATAATTCTTAATATATATTTCTTTTTACGTTTTAAAGGGTAAAATTTACTGATTTTAATAAATCAAGAAAAGAATTAATTATTACATTTTTGCGCTAATTATATTTTATTTTCTTAGGGCCGGTTGTTCCAACCTGTTGGTATGCTAACTAATAGTTAAATCATATGTCTATCTTTGTCTAATTAATGTAAAGGATAAACGAAGACATATCTACATATGATTTAACTATTAGTTAGTTTACCAACAGGTTGGAACAATCGGGCCTTAATCTATCAAAATCACACAATTTTATTCTTTTTAGAACGTAAAAATTTGACACAAAGTAACCAATTAATTATACATTTTTTCGATTATAATAAAATAAATTTTTTTTCTCCAAATGTCAGATTTAATATACGATAATAACCAATTAATTGAAATTAATTTGAAATGCAGATAACAAAATTTTCGACTTACGTTTATTTTGTAATATTTCATGTGACGACGAAATATTTCAAGTATCACAAAATATATACAAGCTATAATTGCCATTCTCGGTACGGGATGGCTTACCGTTGTTTATATGTATACATGCGGTTACCTCGAAGTCACTGCGCAATGAGACTCACGATTAGGTACCTACATCATATTAACAATTCGATTGTGTCACGTAGAAAAGTGCAATGGAGATTCATTCGATGACAATGAAGCAATTTTCACGGTAATATATCATATGATAATAAATCATCTTTCACTATAATTAACTTTATAAGAAACGTCTCAATGTTTTCAGCTGAGTTTATTAAATTTCTAGAGATTCGACGAAACGAATAAATGCAAATGAAGGCCGTATTCTCCATTGTGTTTAATAATTACGAGTGTGTTTTATGAAACGTTTTATGAAAGGAGTTGGTAAAATTTACATGCTATATGATTTATACTTAAAGCATCGGCGAATAATGTTACGTCATCGTAAATTACATTCATAAACGTAAAACCGGTGTGCTGTTCATCGACGAGAAAAAAATTTCAACGAAGTTTCAACAAAATCTTGTCTTCCGAGTGTCGAATATCGACATTAATCATTCGATTTGACGACTCGTTTATATAAATCTATTCTTAATGGTACAATTGAAAGGCGATGTCCATGTGAAAAAACAAATCAAATATGCAGAATAATGAAGAAACTCCATATGTCTTCGACACATTGTTTTCCCCTTTTTCAGTTATATTATTAATAACAAACCGTTCTATGAAAAACTGAAAAGTTTTCACTGGAAAACTACCAACGACTCTGATTAACCGGATTCCGAGATATCGATTGTTAGTGACAGCATCGAGAGAGTTAATATAGATAACTAAGTTATATAGAATTTTATATCTATGTGAGTAATCATGATATTTTGTTAAAATGTCAAAGCTAACTATACCAACCTAATAGACACCTATTGTCAGCGTGGATCTTCAATCTTACGACTCCGTAAAATACACAACAGCTACAACGACGTCAGTTATATTATCAATAGTAGACTGTCAAACGCATTCTAAAATTAATCACGTACGTGATGTCTGGAGCCTAGAGATTTCGTTGCGAAAGAATGCGATGGGCCCGACAGACTTGACATAGCGAGTTTGAAGAATATCACGACGCCTCCGTCTTCGCTTGAACATTAAGAAATAACATCTCTCTCTCTCTCTCTCTCTCTTTTGATGGAGTTATTCAACCTTTTACGGTTCGGTTACGACTACAATTTATCTCATTAACATCGCCGCGAGCGTTTTCACATAACGGTGCACTAGCGCCGGTCTCGATCGCGATGCAAGGCACTTCATCGCGCAACCAATTTACAGCCGAAGCTGCATATCGTTAGTTAGTATTGCACTTATCTTTCGGCGTCCTACTGTTAATTCCAAATTTATTGACGTGTTAATATTTTACTCTCGATATATACAAGCTTCTCGAGAAGAGCGAAAGAGAATAATTCAAATAAATGCAAAATATAGAATAATCTTTTTATGATGCTTATGAAAAAATTTTAAATAACCGTCGGATGTGCGTGCATGCAGGATGCATTATAATATCTATACACTGGGTCAAGAAATTTACATTTGTATGTATAATTTATAATATCGATCGCGTATTGCGCGGATAGAACGTGATCATATCTTTATTATACTTAATTTATATGCCAAAAAAATCTTACACGTGCCGATTTGTAATTCAAGCGGAATGTAATTCTATTATAATAGTATAGAATTCTAAGAAGTTCTTCCTGAAGAACCACTCAATCATGGACCTTCGAACTATCTTCATCTAATTTCAGGCATAGGCAGGTACCACTTAAGATCGATGAATCGATCGGCCCTGCCTCACAAACATGATTTCTTCTTAGTTTGCGATCGCATCTTCGTTTCGATCATAATATTATGTTCGT